ATATATATATATATATATATATATATATATATATATATATATATATATATATATATATATATATATGCCCAATCACCTGCCATGTGGACCGTTTACTATTATATGATTTTAATAGATGCATCTATTGTATGGTCATATGTGCGTTTGTTGTCAACTTGCAGTTTGGATTTTTGCAAGATTGATTGCTCAAANGAAGCGGGGCGGCGTGTCGTTGCAAGGTGTCTGGATGTCTCGGAGGAGGCGGATTAGGGGCTCTGACGTAGGGCTGATGCCTTTCTCTGTTGAATCGTGGGAGTGGTTCCCGTCGCCCGTCATTACGTCGATCCCTCCTGACTTCTGATTGCACTGATGTCAGTCGTTGGGGTGGACCGTTAAGATCGTCTTCGTCCGCTCTCACTTCTGCACAGTAGGCAGTGTGGATCTCTTCCCACGTAGTGGGGGGATACTTCATGAGTCGATTGAGCAGCTTCTTGGTCGCTTTCGACCCATCTCTGTTTAACCCGTTTTGGAAAGCAGCGACCGTCATTCCTTCTGATACGTTCGGCAAGCCCATTCTTACCCTGTTGAATCGTGCCAGGAAGTCTCTGAGTCCTTCGCCCGTTGTTTGCCTGATTGCAAAGATATCGTTGACCCTCGCTTCAGCCTTCTTTGCTCCTGCATGGGCGGTGGCGAACTTATCCGCCATCTCTTCGAACGTCGATATCGATCTGGCTAGTAGTTGAGAGTACCATGTTAGCGCTCCTCCTGTCAAAGTTTCACCGAACTTTTTCAGAAACACGGACGGCACATGTTCTTTCGATAAGTCGTTGCCTTTTACAGCGGTTACATAATGGATCAGATGATCTTCCGGATCCGTAGTCCGTTATATATTCTCAAGTATGGGGGCATCTTGAAGGTTTTAGGGATCGGGTGAGGAGCAGCTTCCTCACTATATGGTTGCTCGACGAACCTTCCCACGTCGCGTTTTGGCAGTAGCTTAGGGGCACCAGGTATTTTGTCTACCCTTTCCTGGTGCTCCTTCATTTGATCACGAAGCGTTTTATTCTCGTTCTCCATTTCTTCCATTTTCTTAAGAATGGTTGCGAGTGCATTATCGCTCGCGTTGATATCGGTGTGGGCGCTGCTTGTCCATATAGCACTTGGTTCACCGACGGCAGCCGCGATTTCCGCCGTTGATGAGTCTTTAAGATTTCCCTGAGATGGTTTCTCGAGCATGCCACTTAGAGTGTTCGTCAACCATTCCTCTAGTAGCTTTTTGACTACTGGGGGCGTTTCTTTTGCTGCGGACGTTGAAGCCCCTCTTTCATGCAAGATCGTTAGATCTTCGAGTGAAGAGGGTGAAATCTCCTCCTCCGGAACACTACTTGGTGTTACATTCGCAACATTCTCTCTGCCGGTCTCGTTGAGGGGGCCTATGAGGTTGGTTGAGACATATGCTATCATCTTCAGCCTTGATTCTTTATCTGTCATTTGTTAGTTCTACGGAGTTTGAAGGATAGTGATTGTTGTTCTTGATATCCTAGATGTGAACTATGATTTCGACTACCGAAATCCCCACAGACGGCGCCAAATTGTTTGACTCAAAAGTTATTGAATACTTTTCGAGCAAATCAATCAATATAGATGAAGGGGTAAATCGTAATCGAAGATAATAAATCCTAGGATGATCTTCGTGACTGGTTCGGATAACAATAATACAAATCGGGGAGAGGGAGAAGATGACAATCTTAGAGAGATGAGAGAGAGAGAATGTTAGAGAGATGAGAGAGCAAGAGAGTTTTTATATTTTATCAAAAGATCCTCCCTTTTACACAGCTCAGACTCCCTTTATATAGCGAAGGGTCTTTATTTAGATATTTAAAAGACAAAAATAAAGTACACGCTATAGAAGGGCCGACATGGTCATGAGGTCGTCCCCAGTATTATCCCCAAGTCGTCCTTTTAACCGGACTCGCGTATGTACGGTCGGTCGTGCTTGCTTAGAGACGTGATCGGTCAAATTCGACCCCATACATGTAACACACGTGCTGAGAAACTAGTGTATAAGAAATGAAGGCGAATAAGAATTAACTAAAGCGTGTCACACTGAATATTTTAATGTAAAAGGTAATAAAGCTTGCAATAACACACAATACATTACTAATCTCACTAACAGAGACCTGACATGAGAGTACATGTCGTGACGAGTAAGAAGACAGCTCGAAATTAAAATGAAGATGTAAATCTTTTTTCTGGGAGTTCATACCCCAACAAAAAGAGCTACTAACTATTAAGCATCTTAAAGATCTCTATCCCTGGTACACTCTGGAGGAAGGGTAGGGTACCTTTTCCTATCTGTACAATAGTTATAGATGGTGAATTTTTGGCGAACCCATTGAAGTTTTGTATACTGAGGGCCATCTAATTCTTGGAAAGCCTTTTGATCCCACCATTTCATGCCATTTGTATTACAAACTTGCACTTCTTGAGGGGTGACTGCCTCACAGCCATCTATGTGGAATGAAGTGTAGGAAGCAGTGAATGGTGCTTTGGTCCAATCCGTTTTCTCTAATCCTCCTCTTGTAGCCCAGTCGTCAGCATTCCACAGGCTTGAATAGATCTTCATCGGCTGATTGAATGGGAATTCCACACCTATGTCTTTCGAATTCTTGAATACTCTTATTGGGACGTCGTCCACAAAAATCCTGCAATCCACCACAACCTAGATTAGCTGCTGATACAAGGCCCAATTGCAAAAATATTTGTTTTTGGTTAATTCTTCTTTAAGATTAAAATAGTTACATTATATTTCACGTCCATTTTAGGCACGAGATACTAAAAAGCAAAATATAAACACTCTATCCATATCTCTAAAGTATGAGAATCTGAACATTGATTTCTTAATTACTACTCTCTTGTTCCAGCTTATGTGAGCCTATTTCATTTTTTGTCCATTCCAAAAAGAATGATCCCTTTCGAAATTTGGTAACAATTTAGCTTAAACTTACAATTCTACCCTTAATGAGAAGCTTTTATAATCATACAAATACTCTGGTCCCTTTTTGACTTGTTTAGGACCAATAATTCCAAAAATCTTCATTTTTTTTTAAAATTCGTGTCCAATCAAACAGGTTGACATAAATTGGAACGGATGGAGTACTGTTTAAAAATTGTTCTATAAATTATATCCTACAGTTAGAAAGGGAAACAATTCGACTCCTGTTCTTTCTTTTTTTCCTTTTCCTGGAGGTCCAAATGAAGTAATCAGTTCCTCTTTTATTTGTTCAAAATTCTTATACAACTATACTGCAAGAAAAGGAGGATACGGCGATACTTAATTAGTCACCTTTCTAATTTAATCCCAAAAAATTAAAAAGGAAAGAAGAGCAAGTATTGTAAAGGAAGTTACACAATCTGAAAGGTGTTCCAGAGAACGGAATATGAATGGAAGTCGTTGGTTGGATCAAACCAGAGATAGATCCTCTGCTCTCTGTCTCCTTTACCTCCTGTAAACACATTGGTCTGTAATATGTATGGCTCACCTGTCCTGTTCCCTAGGAATTCGAAATCTATCTCATCGTGTTCTGCATTGTTTGATGACAGCTGAAACAACCAACATATATATATCACTTTCTTCTTTTTTATTTAATTAATGACTAGACTCAATGTGATTCTCACGTATATAATATAATAGTACTTACATAAAATGCAGAGACAACACCAGCAGAATCACCTCCAACAAGCTTCATTTTCATACTAAAGTGCCCAAATAGATACGATTTCTTTGATTGAAATCCAGCTCCTTCAATCATACAAAGTGAGTAAACTACGCAGGCATATATATGGCATTTAATTAATTAATTACCTGAAGATTTGTCAAGAAGAAGCTCAGCTGTGGTGTCACCATTGAGGTACTTGATATGGTGACTGGACCAACTGGGTTCATAGTTGTTCCAAAAAGGCACATCCACTGCCTTTCTCGGCGCCCCACAACTGCCCAGTATTGACAAATTTATCAAAATAAAACCAACTAAAAATCCCTTCATACCCATTATCCTAGCTCTCTGTGTTGTATGTGTATTCTACTATTAATGGATGAGGAAGTTAAAGGGATATACTAGTTCATTATTTATAGGGGATTTCGAGTGTTGAAAAAGAACACGGGTCATGTGTGTCAACAGAACGTTGAAGCAAGTGAGATATTGTCAGATTATTCGGTGCTATGTTTAGACTTCCAACCGTATAGTATAACTGTCCAAGCGCAAGCCTTTTGTCTGGTGCACATTGGGCGAGTAATGCACGGAGCCATGCACATGTTTTCAACCAAACGAAAGAGTAATTTAGCCTCACTTAAATCTCTAGCGAGTGGAACACAAGCTCTCATCAACCGACAGACATCATTAGGTGGAGTACAAGAGACGCACCTAGCTAGGAATCAAGGGCGGATTTAGGGGTGGAAGGGTGTTCACCCGAACCCCCTTCGCCGAAAAATTACACTATATCTAAAAGGCAAAATTTGTTTTTATTTCTATATATTATATTTTGAATTCCCTTGACACGATCCAAAAGCATAATTTAATAGTCAATGAGGTTCAAAACCTTTATAAGGTCAAAGGTTTTATCTCCACTTCTACCAACGAAGGCCATGTGTGTGGATCGGTTTTCTGCGTAAATTTTGACCGCTGCTACGGTTCCCTATGTGCTGTGTAACAGAAGGACCAGTAGGGTGCCCGCCGCGCAGAATCATTTTCTCTGTTAACTTCTTGCCGCGTTCTTGGTTTGGTTTCCATTCATTATTAGGTTCTTTGGATAGCATTAGTGTTAGGAATCTATCTATCTATACTATATTAAAAGCACGAAGGCCCTTAGCGAAATGTCGTTCGCCTATTTTATCCTTTAAAAACAGATTTCATATTGGATAAAATAGCAATTTAATTATTTTTCTAATATTTAGGAGTTAAAAATCAACCAAAATTTTAGTTAGTAAACATTTCCTTAATTGAATCATGTAAAATGTCCAATATTAGAACTTTTAAAGTTTACTATACTTATACAAATGTTACTTTGTCTAACTCTATTTACAGAAATAAAAAATGTATCCCAACAATTAGGACTAAAAGTTAGGGATTTGTATTCAACTATAATTTCTTTAAAATTGTGTAAAAACAAACATATATCAATTTTTGTAGTGATAATTTATTTTTCGAATACATATCGAATAGAAAAAAACAAGAAAGAACCTTTGAACACTCTTCCTTTCTGATAATTAAATGACAGCAAAATAACATTCTATTGTTAATTTGATTCATTTTAAATATGTTCCTTAATCTTATTTCATCTATGTCAAAGTATTCAAATAACTTTGAACACTTACACTTCCTTTCTAATAGCCAGACGATAGCAAAAGACAATTTTATTATTAATTTGATTCCTTTAAAATATGTTTGCATCTTATTTCTTTTATGTGAAAGTTCGGAATAAATTTTAAGAAAAATAAATATTATCCTAAACGTTAATAAAAGTTTATCTTTTCAACAAGGGACGAAATTGTGCTCAAAGTATTTAGCAACATCTATTTAAATAAAAAAGAAATGTACTGAGTGCAATTATAATTTTTTCTAATATGAAATATACTTACAAAAGGTAAAAAAAAAAAAAAGTCGATCCACAAGTTAATAGGAAAAATAGAATATTCTTAAATTTTCTAACGTAAATCAAAGAAAATTAAAAAAAAAAAAAAAAAGGAAGATACATTGCTAAAATTCCTACCATAAATAAATGAGAAACATTTTCAAAAAGGAATTAGATTTTCTTCAATTTCTAAAATCAAAGTTGATTACAAAAGAAAAATATATCTTCCTAAGAGGATTGTTTTAAAATGCCAAATTATCATAAACGTATATAAAAGAAAAAAGACATTTTCAAGATGGAAATTCTAATTAATTTTGTTACGGATTTTTTTTTTTAAACCATTCTACTGCTTATCAAACAAAAACTTAGGAATCTTTTCTTTTTACCCCTTTTTACTTACTTTTTGATTTGAATTTTAGAAATGCTATAGTTTTACTTTAAACACAATTTAATACTTTTGAAAGTTTCCAAGTTCACTTTAATTTAACGTAAGAAACTATTCTTACTTCTGTATAAAATTATATTTAGCGTTAATTTGTCACCAAAACTAAGAATATTATAACTTATACAATTATTTATAGATGAACATATAATTGACATATCTTCTTATCCTTCAGTCATATACTATTTTTCAAAATATTATACATGAAAAATAATAATAATAATAATAATAGGTAAAATTAAAGTATAAACGTAAGCTACGTTATAATTTCGATGATCTTCTTTGTTATTCTATCTTCTTTATATTGTGCAAGCTTGCTACATCAAAGATTTACCTTTTTAAGTTATTTCCTAAAAAAAAAGTGTAAATATCTAAAATACTGTTGAGAAATATTAATACCAATTAACACAGTATGTTTACTCTGTTTGAACTTCTAAACTAAATACAAAACCATGTGCCGCTATTTCAATAAAGCATATGAGAACTTATTTGGGACAATTTTTTTTTGCTATAAAATTAGCTAAACAGAATCAACATTCATTATTTTTAAGAACTTACACTTTCTTGTTAAATGTTTATTTGTAACTCTTGACACATTTGTAATAATATTTATGTCACTTAAAAAAACTATTCATGACACGAGATACACGCGCATCGCGCGTACACTTAAATCTAGTACTATATTAAAAGCACGAAAACCCTAGCGAAATGTCGTTCGTCTTTTTTACCCTTTAAAAGTATAGTTTACATGGAACAAAATATATAGTCATTTGATTATTATTTTTTTATATATAGAAATAGTCATTTAATTATTTCCTAATATTTAGGACTTCAAATTCAACTAAATTTGTGTGTATAATTCTTTCCTTATTTATATCATATAATGTAAGACATTTTTAAAAGAAATATAATAAAAAATGAACGGTTCATTTTTTCCTAATATTTTAGGCAAATTTGTTTAGCCCTTCAAATCCTTTAACGTTTGGGATTCTTTATCTTCCAGAGAGGAAAAAGATTCTTCAAAGTGATCTTTTCCATGAGTAATTATTGGCGTGACTTTAGAATTTTAATAGATAGAACAAAATTTCAATTTGATAGACATTACTATTTTATTGTTAGTATATATTAAATAAAACATAAAGGCCTAAATATTGTAGGTCAAATTTTCGAGCAATTTTAACTCCTTTTAGGTTTAGAAAATACATTAACTTGAATTTATAAATATAATAAAACTATTTTACGCATCTACATAACAAAATTCTTTACATTTGGAACTAAAGTTAACTTTCACAAGGATTTATAAATCTTATAAAAATATTATCTGCTCAATTAACATAACAAAATTCTTTACTATAACCCAAGTTAGTTTTCACAAGGATTATAAATCTAATAAAAATAGGCTACTCTATTTTGTTTGGTTTTCTATTCGGTGTCTGGTACTTGTATTGGGGCCGATTAGATTTAATTTCGCGTTGAAAAGTCTCACATTAACAAAGATAATTTTATACCCAGGACGTAAACCCAATAACTTTGGTTAAGGACGGATCTGCTAGATTTACAATAGATGATGGAGTTTTTCAAGTATCACTACAATGAGACTAAAACTTTTTTCGGTGTTTGAATCCTTTACAATTTTTCTTTTTTTGGTTTACAGTCAAATATGTTTTTTAAAAATATAATATTTATAAAACCCATATGGGGCAGTACCAAAAAGAAGCATGTTAGATTATACTTTTTCTTTTAAATAGTTCTAAATTATCAAATTTTTACTTTTAAAAAGTTCATGATAACAACATTCAATTTAAGGAAAAAAACGGGTAGAGCTTTTTCTCTATTGATTTTTCTAAATAGGCCCGGCATTTATCATTTTCATAAACTTGCATTGAAAATGCAGATTCATTCCTGAAGATGAATGTAATAATATGTGATAAAAGTAATGAATAAAGACGTGCAATGCATGATTGGATACACACCACAACTCACCTCTAAGGGAGGTTTGAGAGAAAGAGAGATAATGAATATTAGTGTATGATTACATATATATGTCATTGGTCGTGTACATGTGGTACGCCATAAATAATTTGACATGCCTTATAAAAAGTTATTAAAGGCAAAAGTAAAGCAAGAAATGATTTTGCTTATGATGATTTTGACCATGACAATTATTATGATATGATTTTCTCCGTGAAGGAGACATTCACCATATGGATGGTGTGACAAAAGATATTATAGTACAAAATCAATTAAGAGCTCCGAAAGAGCTAATTTGTTACTACCCGGATGAATGAAATTGTTCATGACATTGATATTCTAGTAAGTCTTAAACGGAATTTTTGAGTTTCAAATATATTAGCCAAAATGGTTGGCATATTGAGACTATAAATGAAAGGAAGATTGAATATATTCATATTTCTATAATCATACCGGGTAAATATAAAAGGTTACCCGATTTTTCTTTTATTTGTACTACACAAGTATAAGCATGATGATGGAATCACATGCCACAAGTAAACTAGAGGTTTACTGAAACAAATATTAGTTGGCATGAACGGGTTGGCCATCCCGGTTCAATTATGATGCAAAAATTAATTGAGAATTCACATTGGCATATATTGAAGAAATAGAAGATTCTTCAAGAATTCTCTTGTGCTGCTTATTCTCATGATATACCAGTTAAGGTTGGGATTGAATCCCTTGATATCTGGAATGAATAAAAGGTGATATATATATATATGGGCCCAATCACCTGCCATGTGGACCGTTTACTATTATATGATTTTAATAGATGCATCTATTGTATGGTCATATGTGCGTTTGTTGTCAACTTGCAGTTTGAATTTTGCAAGATTGATTGCTCAAATTATTAGAGCAGAGTCCAGAATATAAATTTATCTTGATAATGCTGGTTTAAATCCAAGTTGGTTTAGCATAGATTGTATGCCTCCAATTATAGATAAGCCATTGGTTATGAGAACAAAATTACCAAAAGGAAATTTGGTATGAGATGTATTATTTAATATAGAGCAGCACTTGTACGCATCTAGCCAAGTGATGATAAATTCTCCCCGTCACAATTGATTCAAGCTCAAGAACCAAATAATTTCCATCTTGAAAT